ACTTGGAAGCCGCCCTCATGGCGCAGTGGTCATTTTCAATGATCCTTGTCAAATTAAATATATTGCCAATGATTCTTGTACCCCTGTACTCGAGTAAGCAGACATGGCAGGCTTTGCTTTCTGGATCCAGGATTAAAACCACCTCCCTGCCACCAAAAAAACAAAACAAAAAGACACGTAGGGGCTGAGACTCACCCACCTGAGCCTTGGCCCCAGCAGTTTGTCGCTTGTATCCGCCTTGCCTCTCCTCTGTCTCCATTGTGGAAGTGTTGCCAGAGGAGAACGGAGGAAGCTCACTGCTGGCAGTCTCCTTCTCTGACAGAACAGGGCTGTCCGCTTCCAGAAGCCATCGTGGAAGACACTTTTTCTGTGAGCTGCCAGTGAATTTTACAGGAATGACGTGGGGAAAAGAAGGCTTCAGGTTACTTCAGCTGCTTTGCCAGTTGACCTGGGGTGGTTTTGTACATTCTTTGCATCCCCTGCTCAGAACTCTGACCATCCCTCAGGCATCCAGGGAGGTACCTGCTGGCTCCCTCAGCCGTAAGGGCGCCGATTCTCAGGTGCTCCGGAGCTGGATGACTGCTGCAGGCAGCAGAGGGCATGGGCTGGCACACCCCGCCGAGCAGTTGCTGGGAGGCTCCCAGCTTGTCACCCAGACCCTTGCTTCTGACTTCCTGGCTGGGCTCATCTCTCAGAACAGGCCTCCCAGCTTCGCTTGTTGCAGTTGCCTGGCAGAGAGGAGGAACAGTGAGTCACCAAAAGCTTAAAAATGGTGGAAATCACAGGCTGTGACCTTCCCTGAAAAGTGATCACTTAAAAACTCTGTAGTAGGTTTTTTTTTTAACTTTCTTTCTCTCCTGGAAAGATAGGTCATTAACTGTGATGTTCTTTGCTTTCTAAGCGTTATGTGAGATTTTTAGTGTAGAGGTTTCTTCATTGTCGAATGGACATGATATGCCTTTCTGGTGTGTGCTCAAACCCAGGGTCTGTCAGTGCTTGGAGACGGCTTCCTGGACTGGAATTAAATCTAATTTCAGGGAAATAGAGATGAAAATTGAAGGTTGCTTTTAGAATTAAATCACAGATGCTGCTGCTGTTACAAAGTCTGATAGAAGGACCCAGGTGTGCGACAGAGGAAGTGGGGAAGGCTGAGGGAGAGGAGAACGATGTGATGCACGGAAATGGCTTTTGTTTTTTCTTCTAACTCAAACAAAACTGGCTTGGAAAGTCTTTGCTTTGGAGGTGTCAAATATTAGAACAGGCTGCACAGGACTGTTTGTCACCTGCCCAGGTAAGAAGGCCTCGTGAGGAGGCAGGGCGCCCGGGCCTCGGCTCTCAGGCGCCGAGCTCGCCGCTCTCTGCGGAGCCTCCCCGCGGCTGCGGGGCAGACAGCCCCTGCTGGCGCTCCTTTCTCTAGGGGCTCGTTTCCAGATTGGAGGTGGACGGTTTCAGAGTTGCGTTCCCTTTCCAGACAGGTCCATCTCTCCTGTCCAGGTCTGAGAGAGGATTTATGGCAGGAGCTGTTTATGAGGCTTTAGCTGAAGCCCTAGTGGCAGGGAAGTTGAGGAACAAACTTACCCCTCAAGGAAAGTACCTTTCAAGGATTTTTTTTTCCTAAAACACTCCTTTAAACAAGCAAAAGAAGCAAGTAAGGAAAGAAAACTTACACATTTAAGGAGAAATGAGTGCTTGTTAACTGATCATCTCTCCACCATCCCCATCCTTTCTCCTGCCAGAGCAAAGCATGGCCTCACAGCCCACACCAAACCAGTGCTCACCCCGCCTCTCCTCGGCGCCGCCTGGGAGTCAGTCCGCTCTCAGGCCAGCCGTGCAGGGCCGGCCAGCTCTGCGCACAGCGGGAGGCAGGGAAGGGCTGCTTCTGGCAGCCGGGCAGGCACCTGGATGCCAGTACATGGCTAAGACATGGTGAAGGCCAGGGAAAAGGGCTTTTCTCAACCAAGAAACCACTGGTTTTTTTTACCCCTTAAGCTACGTAGAATTTATACAACTTACAGTTTCGATGGATTTTTCACCTCTTTTAAGACAAAGGATAAATTAAATCATTCTGAAAGGTCTTCTGGTATCTAAAAATAAAATGACTTCTCCCGGCACTGATTTCAAAGCAAAGACTTTGTTGCCTGCTGCTTGTTGTCTAATTTACAGGGATATTTAATTTTGTAAGGTATTTGTATATTTATACAGCTGTAATTAATTGCACACTGGACGGGAGAGGAGTGGGTGGCCCAGCACACAGCGCCTCCTGGCCTCTGTGTTCCTTGTGCGGTGCTCTCCTTGGGGCCTCCTGGACAGCACCAGGGCTTACTTGTGTGACTTGGGTCCTTCAGTTTTTCTTTTGTTCCTTTCTTAAAATGTAACTGTTAACCTCCTTAAGAAGAAAATACTAATTCTGCTGCTGCTCTCAGAAGGTTTGCTGAATGTATCTTGAATAGGACTCTAACTCGTGTGCACTGCAGCTGTCCACGGTGGCCAGTAATGATTCACCCAAGCGTGTGGCCAAACCATTACTGCATGTAGCGGGAATGTAGTGATTTGTGCTTCCTTAGTAAGGTGAAATGTCAACTGAGAGATTATCTGCTGCTGCTGTTCAAAAGGCCATTTATGAAATGCAAATTTGAACCCCATAAATCTTAGGAAAGTCTCTAATTGTTCAAAGGAAGAAATTAAAGTTGATAACAAATTTCATGGTAAAAGCGCACAGCTAGACAGCTATGCTCAGATGGAAAGTCCGAGCTAAGGTTGGGCTTGACAGACCCTGGCCGTTGTGTGTTGTTTCCATGTGTTCGAGTTCATTTTTTCATGCTTCATATTCTGGCATTAGTTATCTGAGGAATCCATCAGCCTTCTCACGTGTAAGGCATCGTCTCAGACTTGTGGCTCTGAAGTCCTCTAGTCCATTGAGACTTCAAGTCTCCTGTCACCATCCTTGTGCATTACAACAAAACCCATAAAGCATAAGTGGCCTTTTTGAACCAAGATTTTGCAAACTGATCTCTCCCCAGTAAGGAGTTGAGCACATTAACAATGATGTACATTATTAATTTCAGATTTTTGTTTTCATGTTATATTATGTAAATACTCTCTGATGTTTGGAGCTTGAGTATACAGAATGTAAATATAGTTCTTGTATTTGTACTAATTCTGGTTCTTTTGCTATATAGCCTTAGATGTGCAATGCAGACATTATCTGTGTATGGGAACCTTGCATCACGGAGCTGTTAGTGAACGAGGCGAAAAAAATAAAGGTACAACCAGTGCATCAGAAGGCTGCCAATGTGTGTTTTTTCTTGTACCCTGTAAAAGGCATTTACACAAAGACTTCTTGTGAAGATACTACTTTTCTGGGACGGAAGTCATGGTGCTGTGACCCTCATGTTCCTTTCTGATAATTCAAAACAGTAGTTATCATATAACCAGGAAAGCTGATGTGGTACTGTTTCTTTGAAAGTACTTTCCTCCAAGTATAGAACTGGCTATTTTAGCTGGATTTGTCTGTCTGCTCCCAAAACCTCTCTTTAATCTACCTACCAGTGATTTTGTAGTGTTACTGTTTTTAGGTGGAGGGGTTGAAAATTTCAGCATGTCAGCTTAATTTAATGCATTCTTATGAGCAGAGCATGAGCCAGGACCACTGTCCTGGGTGTTTGGGGAGAAACAGAAGGGAGGGAGAAGCAGCAGTGAGGCAAAAGGCAGCTCCTACAGTACACCGTGCGCGTGCCTGCCCTGTGCCCGAGACGCTGTCAGGATGCTGGTGACGGAGCGGTGAGACGCAGTGAGCCCCAGCGCACAGTCAGCACACACGGATAATCCAGGTACGGGGCATAAGGCTGGATGAGAGATCAGAAGGGCTCGGAAGGAGGTGTCTTTTTAGATCATGTGGCCCGGGAAGGCCTCTCTCGGGAGAGGATGTTTGAGCAGACTCCTGAATAGAAGGGTGGGTAAGCCACACGAATCCCTGGACAAGGAGGGCTCAAAACCAAGAAATTAAGCTCTCGAGGCAACAGTGCCCTCCATGGGTTTCAAAAAGAACGAGGAGGTCAGTGTGGAGTAAGGGGAGGGCACTAGAGCTGGGGTGTCAAGAGAGTGGCCACGGACCAGCTTTTGGGCTTGGGTGGCCCTGACTTCATAGCATGAAATAGGAAGCCACTGGCGGCTTTTGAGAGGATGGCATGATCTTACTTGTGTCTTTAAAAGCCCATTCTGACTCCTGAGTGGAAGACAGCCCGTGTGGTGGAGACGGTGGACAAGTGGAAGAAGGAAGACAGAATAGTCACAGAGATGGTCACCTCAGTGTCCCAGGGGAGAAGGTGGTAGCTCGGTCCAAGGCAGGAGCAGCAGAGGCAGGGAGCAGCGGTCAGATCAGGTTCAGGGTACGTTCTAATATTCGAGCCGACAGTTTGTTGAGGGGCTGCAGGTAGGGTCACAGAAAGGGCAAAGGTAACTCACCAGCTGTGTGTGCAGAAAGAACAGCAGTAAATTCTGCAGGTGAAGAAGACGGGGAAAGAGTAAAGGGCTGGCGCTGCATGAAGACTTTGGTTTTGGCTGTTCGCTCTGGGATGCCAGCCTTGCCTCCTGACTGTACTCAGTGAGGCCGTCGGATATACCAGCTGGGCTCTGGGGAGAGGGTTGGGGCCGGACACGGACATTCGGGAGTTGTGAGCATGGAGGTGACAGAGAAAGGTACGAGACCTGGGCAGTGGGAACCATGGGAGACCCTTGGGCGCTGCAGCAGGGAGAAGTCGGAGAGAGGACAGCCCCGCAAGACGAAGCTGAGCGAGCATGAGCCTTGGTGGCCAGGTAAGGAAGCGTTGGAAAATGGAGGAAATGAGGACTGTGTCCTGTGCAGCTGACGGGGTAAGCAGGGGACTGAGCAGTGGCCACAGCTTTTGGCAACAGGGAGTCTAGGATGTTGGAGGGAGCCAGTGAATACAGTCATTTTTTACCAACTTCAAAGCAAACTAAGAAACAAAAGAAGTCAGGTGGAAGATTGCACCTTTATTACCGTTGAAGGTGGGGTTGGAGACTGTGGCTGACGCGTGGTGCAAGTGGATTTACGAACACCGGACCTCAGAATTAAGTAGGTTGGCAGCAAGTGCTTCTCTGGCCTTCATGTGCTGCAGATGCTCTGGCTCGCACTGCAGGCAGGCTTGGGCCCAGGAGGTCTGTTGGGCCTGAAGTCCTGCTTTTCTTTTATTTATTTATTTTATTAAAGTATTGTTGATATACAGTCTTATGTTGGTTTCAAATATACAGCACAGTGTTCAACGGTTACTCATATTATTAAATCCTCACTCCCTCTAGTGTGGTCATTGTTAATGCAGGAAGATGATACAGAATCATTGGCTATATTCTCCTTGCTGTACTACCGTCCCCATGACCAACTTATATTGTGACTGTGAATTACTGTGCCCCTTTATCCCCATCACCCAAGCCTGTAGAATGCACACCCAAGCCTGGATTTGGGATTCACAGAGCTAGGGCAGGACCAAAGCTTGTTAGGGTGAGCAGTAGTGGGAACTGACTTTCCCAAGCATCACAAGCCGAGCATTTGGGGCTTTTCTAAAATATAGAGGTCAGCTCTATAGCATCTTACTACGCTGATAGATGGTGACTGCCATGGGGCCTGGGGAGGGAGAGGACTTGATAATATGGGTGAATGTTGAAACCACAATGTTGTTCATCTGAAACCTTCATAAGATTGTATATCAATGACACTATAATTATAAAAAAGTCAGCATGAAGCTCTAGTTCTAGCAAGCTCTCTGGCTTTACTCTGTTCACTTCTGGGGGAGGCTTGCCTTTGTTCCAGCCCTGCCATTGGATGCTGGTCTCAGTTTCTCAAAGACCAATGTTATGGCTGGACCAGATTGTGGTTAAGGTTACAAGATGCTCTTCAGTAGTAACCATTGGGAAACTTTGAAAACAAAACAAAGCAGGTCTGTTGCTTACAGGACCTGGAAATTACATGGCCTCTCTGATCACAGAGAGAGAGAGAGAGAGAGAGAGAGGGGAGCATGCCCATGTAGGCCTGGGCCTCTCCTTTGACTGGGGTTGAGGGTGGGGCCTAGGGTTTCATGGGCTCACGTTTTATTGGTGAATTTAAAACCTAAGAGTGGCAATTTAAAGTGCAGGAAGAGAAAAAACAAGTGACCCAAATGGTCAGTTTTGATACTAACCAAGATCTCCAAAGCAAAGGGGCCCCAAACACAGCGGGGACGCAGCCTGCTTCTCTGCAGTCTCTCTGAGGCCTCTTCCCAGGCCTGCGGCTGGCAGTGTGTTTTAGGAGAGGCTGTGTAAAGCTTAAATCAGGCACTTGGATTACATAAAAGAAAAACCCGAGTGTCAGGGCTTACCCACCATCTGCTCTCTCCTAAGCCAGTTTGTTGTGGTTTTCCAATGATCCTGGGAGACCATTGTATTTTACTGGTAGTTAGCACCTTAACAAAGAAATGGGAAGGCTGTAGTAGAAGAAAAAAATTACTGGCTGCTTAATTAGGTATTTAAGCATATTTGCCTAAAATGATGCCTGTTCATTAGTAATCTGGGTGTGTTCAGATGTTTAGTCACATTGACTCAGCATAATTTCTCCCTTGCCAAATCTCAGACTAGAGCAATCAATTTGTTCCTGCAGCAGAAGTCCCCTGGTAGGCTTTCCTTGTAACCACCGAAAGGAAATAGCTGCACCTGAGTTGGAAGGCGTGTGGGGCACCAAGGCTCTCTTAAAGGGAGCCGTCGACTGTGTAAAGTTCAAACCTGTGAAATTTCTACAAGTGCTGTTTGTTTTCCAAAGCTAGTCATTGAAAGTTAATTTCAATTTCGTTTTTCATTTCAAGTCAACTAAAGATCTCTAATACACAATTTCACTGGGAAAATGTATCTCTGTGAGTTTGCATGATTATGGCCCACTAATCTGCTTAGGAAAGTGCTGGGCTCAGCCTTAGACTTGGGTTAAAGTTCAGTTCTGCCACTAAGTAGCTGAGAAAATCAAGTCCCTGGGAGGAGTTTCTCTGTCACACTAGATAGTAATCGTGGCATCCTAAAACTGTAGGGCGATTTGACATTTACAAGGAACTTCCACAGACATTAGCTCACTTGGCTATCGCCCAGCCTAGGAAGGAGGCAGGACAGACAAGAGGGGGCACCCTGCAGTCAAGGATCCTGGTGACCGTCGGCCCGGAGAACATCAGGAATTTGGGGAGTTTCCCGATCCCTTTGTCTTTTTTGAAGCCTCTCCCTGAATTTCCTGCTTCTGCGACTCTCCTTTCTTTGCTATGAGCCTGGGGTGAAAGAGGAACACCTGAGAGGCAACACCCAGCACAGGCCCTCGTCTGCCCGGCGACCTGTGCCTTTCTGACCGCTCCCTGGGGGCTCAGACGAAGGCCTTGTTTCTGGGCAGAAGGGCAGTTCTGTGGTGGAGCGCTGGCTGCTGCCGTGTGACGAGGAAGAGAGCGTTCTCTGCACAAATAAAAAAACATAAAATTGAAAAAAGGTACTAGAAACATTTCAGGGCTCTGGATATCAACCAAAGGCCGACAAATAAAGAAAGATTTATTCTTGGAAAAACTTACTAGAGATTCGGGAAGAGCAGTGAGACCCTGCAGCTTCTGGCCTGGGACTGCTCCCCTCTGCCACCCCCACCCCCACTCCCTCCTGTGGGCCCCTCCTCAGGACTTTGCTCCTATTGGGAAGAAAATTGACTTCTTCCCTTCAAGGCTCTTCTCACTGGTCTAAAAATTAAATTGATGTGAGTCAGATTAACAGAAAATAAAGTTTAATTTTGTATGTACAGCCAAACTCTCCCCCGCCAAACACACACCCCGTACACGAGAGGTTCAAAGAAGAAAAGTAAGATGGGGCATCTATGCCATCCTGAGCTCAGGAATGGGATACGGACCTGGGGCTTCAGAGGGGAGGAGGGCAATTTACAGGGCAGTAAGAAGAGCAGGTATTTGGTCATTAGATGGTTGCCCTGCCATGCAGGCAGGTCATTCAATAAAATTGACTTCTGCTAATAACCCTTATTTGAGAAAGACCCAGTTTGGATATTCCTAGGAAGTTTGGGGAGGTGAAAAAGCTTCCCTTGAGCCCACAGGGTCTCCATCGTCTTCAGCTCAAAACAGTCCATGTGCCAAAGTGGCACATAGTGGGGAGACTTGTTATGAACCCCTTCATTTCAAAGGGGGTGTGTTTGGGAGGGTGGGGGGGAGGAGAGCTGTAGCCTTATTATCTGCTTTTAAAAAGTGGCAAGCTTGGTGAGAAAACGAATGGGGAAAACCTGAAGCTTGCGAGCCTGAGGTCTCAGTTGGGCAGCAGCAGACAAGGCCCTAAGGGAGAGGGCCGCAGAGGGACTAGGTAAGCTCTCGACATGTACCTGGCTGGCTGTACGTGCACAGGGGAGGCGCCAGGAAGCCCAGCGAAGTCACAGCCAAGGGAGACTTGGGAACTGGGTGAGCTGTGGATGCACTTCCCAATGCACACACACAGGCAAAGGCTGACAAGGAGACATAGGGCAACCCTCAGGAAACCAAGCTTAAGACATAAGAATAAGAAACCCGAACAGAGTGTACCGATATATGTGATGTGGGAGTTCTAGGACAGGAGAGAAAAAAAGGCAGAAAAATTATTTTAAGAATTAATGGCTGAAAACTGCTAACTGTGTGGAAAGGCTTTAATTTACCGTTTTAACTTGATGAGCCCCAGTAGGATAATCAAAATGATCCACACCTAGACACATCATAGGTAAACAAATCAATCCAAAGAGAAAGTTTTAAAAACAGCAAGAGAAAAATCATGGATAGGGGAATAACAATTTGATTAATATGATTAATGGTTATGACTACTCATCAGTAAGAGTGAAAGCCACTGAAATGAGATACTCAGAATATTGTCAACCAAGAATTTTACATCCAGCAAAATCATCTCTCAAAAATAAGGTAAAATAGAGACATTCCCAGACTTTAAAAAAAGAAAGAAGAGTGCTAGCTGATCTGTCCTACAAGAAATACTACAGGAAAAAAAATACTAAAAACGTCCTGTAGGCTTAAAAGAAAATGACAACGGGCAAAATTTAAATTACCCAGAAGGAATGAAAAACCTCTGGAGTGATAAATACATAACTAAAAATAAAACACTTTTTTCCCCTCTTACTTTTTTAAGAAAAGCATAATACTCTTTGAACCAGCAATTATAACATGTATTTTTTTACTTAAAATATATATTGTCATATAGATGACAACAGCAAACGTGAAATGGAGTTATATTGTAAAGTTGCTATATTTTACCAGAATTTTAAGTACTAAACTTAAGTACATTGTAATAAGTTAAGGATGCATATAGTCCCTAGACAACCACTGAGAAAATAACTCAAAAAGATATAGTTAAAATATGAACCTAGGGATTAAAATATACACACACACACACAAAAATTAACACAAAAGCAGTAACAGGAGAACAGAGGAACCAGAAAGACATGAGACGTACAGAAAACAGCAAAAATGGCATCCCTGTGTCCAACCATATTGGTAGTTACATTATATGTTAATGGACTAATTCTAACCGTAATGCAGAGATTGTGCAAACTGGATTTATAAAATCAGGATCCAACTATATTCTATCTACAAGAGAACTTTTTGATTCAGACACAAAATAGGTTGAAAGTAAAAGTTTGGGAAATGTTACCATAAACAGTAATCACAAGAGAGTGAGAACAGCTGTGTTAACACTGGACATGAGCAACTTTAAGACAAGAAATATTATTAGAAACAAAGAGGAATATTTCATGATAAGGGGTCAACATCAGGGAGATGTACCATTATAAATGTAATTGCATCTGGCATCAAAGTTAAAATAGATGGGGCAGAAACAAGTGAAAGGAGAAATAGTAAAGTCCATGATAAAATTCTCAAGAAATTAGGAAGACGAGAGAAACTCCTCAGCTTTATGAAAGTTATCTGAAAAAACTAAAATGAACCATACTTAGTGAGAAATTGGCTGCTTCCCCTCTAGTACTGGGGAACAAGGCTGCCTGTCTCTTATCACCACTGCAACATTGTACTTGAGGTTGTAGCCAGTGCAAAACGCAAGGACAATAGAAGGCATTCAGATTGGAAAGGAAGAAGTAAAATCGCGGTTTATTCACAGATGACATCATCACAGATAACAAGGGCTTGGGACATAAGATCAGTGTAGAAAAATGAGTTGTGTGTCTAGGTACCAATAATGAACAATCTGAAAATGAGGAAAATGCATTCACAGCAACATCAAAAGGAGTATTTGGAATACAGTTAACGAAGAAGGCAAAACCTGTTCACTCAACCTACATAACATTGCTGAAGTAAATTAGAGACCTAAATAAATGGAGACCTTACAACATGTTCATGGATCAGAAAACTCAGTCTTGTTAAGATGTCAGTGCTCCCCAAATTAATCTGTAAATCCAGTGCACTCCCAAAAATGTCACACAGGGCTTTTTTGTAGAAATTAACAAACATCCTAAAATTTATATGGAAATGGCAAAAGACCTAGAATAGCCAAAACAACTTTGGAAAAGAAGAACAAAGTTGGAGGACTTAAATTACCTGATTTCAAAACTCATTATAAGGCCACAGAAACCAAGGCAGTGTGGTACTGGCATAAAATTAGGGAACAGAATAAAAAACCTAGAAACAAACATTTTCATTTGTAGTTAACTGATTTTTTTTACAAAGGCACCAAGGCGATTCAATGTGGTCTTTTCAACAAATGTTGCTTGAGCAATTAGATACCCATATGCAAAAATAGGAATTAAGACCCTTACCTTACATTCCATGAAAAAGTAACTCAAAGTGGATCATATATCTACATGTAAGAGTTAAAAATATAAAGCTTCTGAAAGAAAATGTAGGAGAAAATCTTTGTGACCTAGGGTGAGGCAAAGATTTTTTAGGTAATGTCACCAAAAACATGATAAATTGGACTTCATAAAAATTAAAAGCTTTTACTCTTCAGAAGGAATCAATGAGAAAATGAAAAGCCTCAAGGGAGAAAACATTTGCATATCACATATCTGATAAAGAACTTGTATATGTAGAATGCATAAAGAACTTTAAAAACTCAGTAATAAGACACGATCCTACTTTTAAAAGAAAAAAAAACAGGCAAAAATAAGTTGCACTTAGTGACTGGCTTCCAAAGGACAAGATACAGAAAGGAGGAAGAAAAAACTTTATATTCAGAAACCTGGCAAACTGTAGTCAGGTGATCAAGGCTAACATCATCGCTGTTGATAGCAGGTTTGTCTGATAAGATGTGACTTGCACTTTACTTCTGTGGTATTTACTTCTGTAGCCCCAACATAACCATGAGAAAAAAAAGTCAGAGAAATCCAAATGGAAGGACATTCTATAAAAACACCTGGCCAGCATGGAGAATATAGTTAATGATTCTGTAACAAGTTACTACATTGATAGTAACTGCAATAGATGGGTGAGGATTTAATAATATGGGTAACTGTTGAACCACTGTGTTGTATATTTGAAACTGACATAAGATTGAATATCAACAATACTTTAATAAAAAAAAAACCTGACCAGTATTCCACAAAACTGTTAATTAAGGTCATGAAAAAACAAGAAAAGACTAAGAAACTAAAACAGACCAGAGGAAATCAAGGAGATATGGTGACTAAATATATTGTATCCTGGCTGGGAGCCCAGGACAGAAAAAGTACATTGGCAGAAGATTGATAATTCTAATAAGGTCTGGAGCTTAGTTATAATATTACACTGATGTTGGTTTCTTAATTGTGACAAATATAAATGTAATACTGAATTATTAACAATAGGGTTTAGGTGAAGGCTATAACGTTACTTTCTGAACTATCTGTACAACTTCTCTATAAGGAAAAATCTATTCTAAAACTTATTAAAAATAAACAAGAAGAGATTTGGAGGGATATTTCCCAAAGAAGATATATGACTAGCTAATAAGCATGTGAAAATCTACTCAACATTATTAGCCATTAAGGAGATGCAAACGAAAGCACAATGAGATACCACTTCCACTATTAGGATAGCTGTCATCACAAAGACAGTATCAAGTGTTGGTGAGGATGTGGAGAAACTGGAACCTTCACACTTTGCTTGCGGGAATGTAAAATGGCACACAGCCACTTTGGAAATAGTTTAGCACTCCTTAAAAATTTAAACATACGCTTTACCGCATGAACCAACAAATTCACTCCTAAGTATCTACCCAAGAGAGAAGAAAACGTGCCCACCCAACAATTCAGTGTTCAAGACAATTATTTATTTATTACCCAACCTAGAAACAATCCAAATGTCCATCAACAGATAAATGGATAAGCAAATTATGCACAATGGAACACCACTCAACAATAAAAAGGGACTTACTGCTCAAACATGCAGGGACATGGATAAGCCTCAAAAATATGCTTCATGAGAGAAGCCAGACACAAAGAATTATGTATTACTCCATTTATATGAGATTTCTGGAAAAAGCAAAACTATACAGACATAGATTTGAGTGTGTTTTTGGTTTTGGTGTGGTGTTTAGAGTGTTTTTTTATATGGGAGCCTTTTGGGGTGGTGGAAGTGTTCTAGAACTGGATTGTGCTGATGGTTACACAGCTATATTGATGAGCTGAATACCATCCCTCTGTGTACTTACAATGTATGTATTGTGTAGCATGGAACTTACCCTTCAATAAATCTTTTAAAATTTGTGTTTTTTTTAGCTTTACTGAGGTACAATTGACAAAATTGTAAGAAGTTTAAAGTGTACGTTGTGATGATTTGATACACATTGTGAAAGGATTCCCCCCATCTAGTTAATTAACACATCCATCTCTCCCATATTTATACATACATGTTTTTTTGGGAAAACTTTTAAGTTCTATTCTCAGCAAATTTCACTTACGGGATATAGTGTTACCAACTATAGTAATCACGGTACCATTCAATCCTCAAGACCTTATTCATCTTATAGTTGAAAGTTTCTACCCTTTTTACCAAATTCTCCGTATTTCCCCCACTCCCCTACACTTAAATAGATCTTTAAAAAAAAAAAAAAGACAGTTCTATGATGAAGCTATGACAAGATTTGAAATTAGCATGCCAATAGAGTTTGCCATCCAAATCAGAACAATTTTGAGTGTGAAAGGGATCACTATTAAAACTATGCCAGAAGACAGGTGTGAATGGGACTGTTCAGACCAGCTGGCATGAATGGTGCCCTGTCTAAGAACCAGTGTAAACCAGTCATTGCACAGCAACAGAGGCCATCTGTTACATGTAAGGCATAGGAAGGTGACAGAGATACACAAGAACAAGATAGACACGGTCCCCATCCTCACAGCTGATAGTCCAGGTGAGGGAGATGGAAACAAAGCAGGCAGTGAAAGCGCGGTGCTAAGGACGCGCGGGAGAGACGTCCAGGTCATCCTGGGACGAGGGAAGCCTGAAAGCAAGACGGTAGGACAGAGGCAGGCGAGCAGGCAGAACAGCAAGTCAGGCCCTGCTCTGGAACCAGATAGTAACTGAGTCTCTGGAGCACCGTGTGCCGCTGGGTGGGGGCGGGAGTCCCTAGGGGGAGAGGTCAGAGGTGAGTCTTCCTCTTACCTGGTGTGTGCTGTAGAAAAGGACTGCAGTGCCTGTCTTTCAAATTAAAAGTTATCACCTGGAGACCTAAGGGCTATGTCACCTTGGCTAAGTCACCCTGCTCAGTCCTGTGGACCCAAGCTCAGACTGAGGCACATTTCCAAAGACTGGGATTGAGTGCAGAAAGTATTTTTAATGGGATGTGCTGGTGCATCCTATTTAGGGGTGCAGAACAGAGGCAGTCACTGTGCGGAAGAGGGTAAGATGCCTAGGCTGACATACGTTTGGATCAGGAAAAGAGACATTTTGAAATTCATGAGTATGCCATTGTCAAATGGGAATTTTTTCTATAGTAAACATTTCAAGCAATGGATCGTTTTACCACTGAGCTTGAACTATGGGAACTGCTCAGAAGCTTTGTGGGAAGCTGCAAAGGTGCCCTGCTTTCTTGTTCCCCAGGTTTCACAAGGAGGAAGCCTAAGAGAAATGTTTTTGTTCAGTCCGATTTTCCACATGGTTCATGTCTTTCTGAGTCCTTTCCATAAAAAAGAAACTAGTATATGCAGACCGAGTACCTCAGCACAAGCTCCCATTTGTGGAGCTGGATTCTAGCCTGTAGATTCTGTCATTCCTGTTTCATTCATGAAGAGACTCTGAGACTCAATAAATTGCCCCAACTTGCACAGCTGGAAAGAAATGGAACCAGAGCAAGCTAAGGTCAATGTGGCGCCGAAACCCGTTCCGACTCCATCAGGCGGCTTCCAAGAAAGATGTTCCAGATCGTTTGAGAAGCCCTCTGGTCCGACTTGCACAGTAATGTGCTGTCCTGCCCCTGAGGCAGTCCCCGAATCCCAGGTTTTAGGGGAGGAACTTGGAGAGCAGTGGACTCATCCCCTCAGGGGCAGTTCTGTGTGTCACTGTGACTCAGCAAGTCTTGGCCCTCTGAGACTGTGTCCTCATCTCCAAAGTAGTGTTGGACTAAATGGGTGGTTCTCAAACATGTTGGTCTCAGGACCCCTTTACACTCTTAAAAACTAAGGACCCAAAGAGCTTTTGTTTCTATGAAACTATGACAGAAGCTTACTATTTACCGATGAAAAAAATTAAGCCTGAGAAACTTCTGAAGATGATTTTCCCAAAATGAAAGGAAATGTAGTGAGATTGCTGTCAGGCAGTTGCGTCTGGGGAGGTCTCCCTACATACTAGAAGAAACCTCAACCCGGGCCCAGGGAGGATTCTTGACTCTGAACCAGAAAGAATTCTTGAGCAGATGGGACTAGTGCAGGTAAGGAAGGAATTCATTAGAGTGAGAGGAGCAGCAAATGGAAGCTGCTTTGCAGGCAGCAGAGACCAAGGCAAAACAGGGAGGAAAGGGAAGCCATTGACCTTTTGCTCGGCATAGGGCGAATCCCTTGCCAGCTCCTGAAGCCAGAGCACTGGATGGTGTGAGATTCTGTTCTGGGAACTTCCACGTCCCTACTGTCTGCAGTAAAACAGGGACAGAGAAGAACAGAAAGCTGAATGAAATAGTGAAGTGACAAAGACAGTTACCACCTGAGGTGGAGGTTGGCAAATTCTTGTCTTTACCATGGAGAAGAGTTCACAGACAAGTGCGATCTGCTTATGCTACACCAAAGTTCAATACAGACAGGACACACTCAGATGGAAGTGTGGCGACCTCAGGAGGCGCACATAAGGGTTTAGGGTTTGGGATTTTTAGGGCCTTTGGGTAGGGGTCAGCAAAGGGCATGATGTGTACAGGTGATTCATAATTCTTTTGAAGTTTTGTCTTTAAGAATAGGGTTGTTTAGGTGACTGTGTTGGTCTGGATCTCGGCATTCTTTATCCACATAGGTTCATTTACACTTTGGAGGTCTATTTCTTGTCCTGGTTACAAAGTTACTTAATTGATTAACGGGCTGGAAGTACAGGAAAAACAGCATATAGCTTAAGTTAAACAAACGGCCTTTTTCACAGGCTAAGTAGATTGCACAATGACATGACCCTTGTTCCATGTCCTTGCCCTACCTTAAGATGAGTGGCATTTGGCAAATCTAATGTCTGCCTTAATGCAGCTGAAGACAGCTGGATTCTCCAACCTGTCTCTACATTTGATCTTTTCCGTACCACATGTTACATACACTCACAAAAACTCCACTGTACAGCCGTGAGTAAATGACAGTGAAAAAGGCAAATCATGCCTGAGTAGTACTGTGGAAATAGTTTTGTCCCCAGTTCCTCTTGAAAGGGTCTCAGGACCACATTTTGAAAATTGTTACAGTAAGAATCACCTGGGATTCCTGATAAAATGTTCATCTCCTGGCCTATTCCAGATTTGTGGTATCAGAATTCATATTTAATAAGCTTTCTTGCACACTGGAGTTTGGGGACTTGGTTGGGAGAGCTCCAAGATGCCTGGCAGCCTGGTTCATCCAAAATTACTGAAACACCTGTTTTGGCAGAGCTGGGATTAATACCCAGGGCTCAGAGCAGTGGCTCTGGCCTATCTGGCTTGCCTTGCTTATCATTTCACCATCTCCTCAGTCACTTCTTTCCGGAAGCACTGAGGGCAGCCAGGCACCTTGCTTATAGCTTTAAAATAAAGTCTGGGCTTGCATACTGCTATTTCTGCATCCAGTAAAAGAAGGAATGAAGCAAAGGACCCATAAGACAGGGAGCTCTCCTCCCCTGAGGGGGATGTTCCGTGCTCACCTGACCCCACCTGAACAGCCCTCCAGTGAGTCAGACACAGTCCTTGAACACCGTGCCAGGCAACAGGACTTTAAAAAGAAAAGAAAAACTGCACCTTCAGGGAACTAAGGCTTGACAGGTACAAAACAGGTACATGTGGAAGCAGCTCAAGGAAAATAACAAATTGATAAAAAGGATGCTTCTAGTGAAGAAAACCTAGTATAGAAAAATATTTACAGGATAAAGTAGATGGTGATAACATTAAAAAATTTCAGAGTAAGACTTCATTGCATAAAAGATACTGTTATTTCACACCCCACTTCCAATAGGAAAGAACTGCTATAGTGGGACGTTTGCTAACATGGTAGTTGTAACCCTTAAAACTTACGTTACAGAGTCACCTGTGTTACTGGTATGACGGGAAATAGGTGAGCATTTACCGTGGGCAAGGTAATGTGAAGCACTCACAGAAAAACAAAAAAATCCTAAAATGGAGGAGCTGAGCGTCATTCCCGGACATCTGTCGGGGCGGCAGGGTTGTGGGTCAAGGTGCCTTGAGAAAGCCAAGTGGGAGATGGTGCCAGGGCCCCGGGCGCGCGGTTCACCATCTCTGCGCCTGCAGCTCTCCAGCAGGTAAGGAGCTCGAGGAGCCACCTCCGAGCCCGGGTCCCGCAACCAAGCGCAGTCGCTGCCTGCTCTCGGCGCGCCTTCGTCGCCCAGCCCGGGTCGCGGCCAGCTCCTGCACTTCCTGGCCCCGGGACGGGGGCATGCATCCCAGGAGAAACAGCCTCGGTCCCCGCCCGGGCCGGGCCACACCGCACAAACCCCACAGCCTCCCAGCGCAGGGGAAGGAACGACCGGCCCTCGGGCAGGGCGGGCCCGTGCCCCTGTGCGCCGGAGGACGCGCCCGCGGGGCCCAGAAGAGCGGAGTGCTATGCCGGGACGGGGGTCTGGGGGGCCGTGGGGGGCCGTGGACCCGCCCAGGGCGCCCCGCCCACTCAGAGGCAATGCCATCGATGTGCTCGGCGCTCTCCTGAGCCGGCCCTCGGGAGTGGGCGGGCCTGTTTGCCTCAGGTGGTCTAACAGGCGCGGGAGAGGACCAATGGCGTGGCCACATGGCTCCGCTCCCTCCTTCCAATTGGCTGGCGTTGGAAAGCCTCGGACGCTGCCTGTGGTGTGGGAGAATTGCCGCGGTACTCAGCTGTGGCTGCCGCGCGGTTCGCTCTCCGGTCTTCGGCTCCCTTCGCTTCTACGCTGTCCGCCGCCGCCATGGCCCAGTGAGTGACCGCCCGCGCGGCCCGGGAACTTCCCGTGGGCCAAGGAGGGCGGGGCCGCCCCCGACGTTGCCTCGGCCAGGGGTCGCCTGAGCGCGGCCTCGTGGCGCCCGGAGCCGCGGACCTGCAGGGTCCCAGCCCCTCGGGCGCAGGCCACGGACCTCGAGCCAGCCTCGCAGCCGCACCTGCCCCGCGGACCCAGTCCCCCTGCCCCCGGCGGCGCCCAGGCTCCGGGCGGTTCCCAGTCGCTGTAAAGGGCCGGGCGGGGACAGGCGTGGCCGACGGAAGCCGGGCCCCCCCCGAGCGAAGGCTGCACGCCGGGCCGCTCGGTCTGCAGCGCTCCTCCCGCGGCGGGAGACGGGGACGCCTGGGCTAAGGCGTCACCAGACCGAGAGCCCGGGAGGTTACGTACGGTGTATGCCCTCCTATGGGCACGTTTCGTTGACCTCAAGAGAACTTGACGTCCGTTAAAATGGCAGAGTGGGAGGGTGGCCTGTCTGTAGTTTGATAGAGGGCTGCTTGCCTGGGTTCTGAAGTATGCAAGGGAGTAGGGAGTACACAGAAAAAGGTAAGACAAATTATTCATAGCAAAAGCTGGAAAACTCTGGGTCCCTGAGTTGGAAGGGATTAAATGGAACTGACATTATTCTTTGTTCCTCTCCCGGTCTTTTAGAGCTGATATTGCACTGATTGGACTGGCTGTCATGGGCCAGAACTTAATTTTGAACATGAATGACCACGGCTTTGTGGTAAGTCCCAAGGACAGTCTTCTAGAGTTTCTGGGTGTGCATTCGCCGCACAGTGCACCCGTGATGGTTCCCTGACTTCGAAGAGCCCATATAACCTGCAGCATACTTCCCTTAAGCATACAGCTTAAGACATTTTTGCAAAGGAGGGAGAAGCACCACTCCGCCTGGGGGTGTGGGAGGGTCGGCTCCACGATTTTCTGAGCAAGAAGAGTCCTGCTAAATGTTTCTGTCAGTTCTGTGAGGTTTGCAGCCTGAACAGACCCGTCAGTCTCTTCAGGTGGGGAAGTCTTGCTGGGTGTCTAGAGCTCTAACTGTATTACCTAATGAGATTTTAAACTGGTTTAGATACCAGAATATGTGCTCAGTGATAAAAAGTATCAGTCTCGAGCCTGCTGGTTCCTAGATTTGATTCTGAGTTCTAATCAGCTAGTGACAGACCTGAGCTTGATAAGCAGTGGGCCGCTCACTTCCTTTTATTCATTCTCTGCCATTTCAGGCTACTAAATTGACTTTACAGTGATAGGCCAGCGCTTGGGCAGGGAAAAGGCAAGGGCCAACCTCCCCCAAACCTTGGGCTTAATAGACATTTCATTGTTACTTGGTTCACAGTCTGAAAGTCTAGTGTGTATGTCCTCGATCTCCTGATCAGCCCTTTGTCCTTCTAGGTCTGTGCTTTTAATAGGACAGTCTCCAAAGTTGATGATTTCTTGGCCAATGAAGCAAAGGGAACCAAAGTGGTTGGTGCTCACTCCTTGGAGGAGATGGTGTCCAAGCTGAAGAAGCCGCGACGGATCATACTGCTTGTGAAGGCTGGTCAAGCTGTTGATGATTTCATTGAAAAATTGGTGAGGCCAGCTCTGCTCCCAGCTGCTACGGGTGTACAGAACTTCCCTGGTTTCTTCTTTTAGCTATTTCATTTCTTTTTACTTAAGAGATTTTTTTCCCCTTCAGTTTTTGCATAGGAACTGCTTAGTTCTGACAAAATAATGGCTTAAAAGGTCTCAGTGTTGGTTAACTTAATTGGCACTAGTTAAGTAACTGTGCTGGGTGGTAATCATTCCTTACATATAAAATTTTGAGGACACTAAGACATTTAAATAAGAATTCGTTAACAAGAGTAGAAACAATAGTAATTTTAGTGGGTTCCATCTCTGATACTAAGAAAAACCAGTTTTGATTATGTGTTATTGATGTTTAGTGCTAGTGACTGATAAACCATAATGTCTAAATTTAGAAATAGATTTCATTTTTGTCAGTACTCCTGTAAAGCAACAATACTCAAATTGTATAATTTAGTATACAAGAGAAGAGATCCCCTTAGGGAATCCTGAGAGCTACACATGGGGTCCTTATTTTTATAATGAACTGCTTGTTGGCTTGCGCAGGTTGTCTGTTCTCTCCTGGAGTTTTTCCTACCAGAGGCCTGATACCACTCACCCCCTGGGGTGGCTGTGGGAGAGGAGGAGCTGAGTGGGACAACAGCTTTTCCCCAAGGATTGTGCCCAGCACAAGTTTTCAAAGCACTGTTGCCATCAGCTGTTTTGGGGATGCCTGCAGGGCCCCTTCCCTTAACATGCCTCTGGGGAAAGATCTGGGTGCATTAACTCTCAAGGATCTTTATTATCCAGTTACCGACAACCTCATTGCCAGTGCCTGGCGGCCTTGGTGCTCTTCCCTCCAACCGGCCAACCAAAAACCCACCATGTGGATATAGGGGAACTGGTGGAAATAATGGATGTAGATACTCAAAAAACAATTCTACAATAACAGCTCTGAAAAAAACAAGGCATTATTAGCATCTTGGAAGAAATGTTGTGTGAGAAATGAGTGACAGTGAACAAAGGCAAGGGGTGAAGAGTGGGGATGTTTCTACACGGAGGGGAATTTGTAACCAGTAGGCTACCAGTTTAAAAAAAAGTGACCTAGAAAGGAAGAACATGGTGATAATGAAAGGACATGCCAAGCTTTTGTGTATCAAGAGGCCAAGCTGCCCGTGATTCGCTGTGGACAGGATGGACTGAAAAATGGTCACATATTCTTCAGCATAGGAAACTTAAATAGTGCTAACTGGAGCCTGTGGGGAGATTGAATAATAATGAACCCAGTCTGGTTGGTGTATCATAGGAAGATATTCTTGTTCAAGGCCTGGTCTCTTCCAGCTGTCTCTACACGGTGATCACATCATCCATTCATACACTAACCATTTGATCCATAGTTATTGGACCCCTGTTCTTGACAGAGATTTTATAGGAAGTGATTCAGTTTTTTAGAGCTGAGTCTACTTCTAGTGTTTGGGCATATAACCCAGCTGGGCGGTACACATCAGGAACGCAGAATTCTCTAAGTAGGTTGGTTGGTTGTAAAAGCTCAGAATAGTTAAAGGGCATCATTACCTCTGTTGTGGAGAGTTCTAACTGGGTTTGCTAGCCCTAAGCTTTTAAATAGGGTCTAGCTCTAGCCACAGACAGGATTACTGAACATTGGATAATACATGCTTTTCGGCTGGGTTTCTTTGGAATAAATTCTTGTTCATTTTAATTTGTCAAGGTACGTTTAAATTTTGTCTTTGATTTCTTTGGCCCACGTTAATGCTAGTGTCTGGGTACAGGTACCATTGTTGGACACTGGTGACATCATCATTGATGGAGGAAATTCTGAATACAGGGACACCACAGTAAGTATTCCAGAGTCCAGATTCTTCTAGGTCCTGAGAACATGCTAGAGAAAAGTATGAGCACTGCCCAGGTGGCAGAAGAGCAGGTTCTCCTGTGGTGCTGACTCGGGGCTTGGTAACCGCTGCAGCAGCTGTCAGCCTTTGTTTGTGCTAAGACATACTTGATGGTTCTCATCAGTTACCCATGTAACTCGAGAATGACTGCTGCTGAGATACAGCAGAAGTTTACAGCTGGGAGTCTGTGCCCCTTTTCCTTCCTCCCCGCCCACCTGTGAGAGGGCAGTGTGTGACGCTGTGAGAGCTGCTGCCCTAAAGGTCTCATCAGCTGGGAGAAGCCCCTGTACTTTGAAGGGCTGAACGGCAGTGAGCCATGCTCACATTAAACCAACTCTTAGTAAAATGAGAATGTATTGCTTTATTATTTCCCTTTGAAGGCAGGGCAACTACATTAAACTCCGGTGGGGTTTTTATTTTGTTTTTAACTCCCAAACTGAGGGGATGGCTTTTCTTGAATGATGAAGTTATTCTTGGATCCTTGGGTCATTTCATGTCCCTGTGGGATGTCCATACCTGTCTTATACCCTGTCTCAGTTATTGGGAGAAACTTAACGGCAGCACAGTGAAATTATTTTTCTCTCCTGTAGAGACGATGTCGAGACCTGAAGGCCAAGGGGATCCTGTTTGTGGGGAGTGGAGTGAGTGGTGGAGAGGAAGGGGCCCGGTATGGCCCATCACTTATGCCAGGAGGGAACAAAGAAGCTTGGTGAGTACAAAGCACCAGCCCCGTTTCAGCCCAAGGGACCCCAGCTTTGAGAATGAGTGAGCGCCCTTGAGCGTTGGCTGTAGGAGATGCTGGGATGACTTATCTGTATGTTTTGCTGCCTTGACACAGTATACGTGCATATTGTCTTCTGCCTTTTTTCTTCCATATTCCCTCCAGTATTGAGTTCTAAGTAGGCTTCAAGGGTTCAGAGGCGTTAAGGAAGTTGTTCAGATAACTCAAGACTTAGAAGAAAGGTCTGCCTCTTTAACTGAGGTGTGGTCCTAAAATAACTCTTTATTTCATAATTGTGAGTAAGGCAAACTGACTGGGCTTTTCTTGTCCCTGGGAATGAGGTAGAAATTTTTATTTCACTTGGGAAAAAAGCAGGTTTTACGCTCTTCACTGTGCTGCGTTTAAGAGGAAGGGGAGGCACTTTGGTGACAGAAGGGATGCAGAAGACAAAGCGTGGAGCTGACAAGCAGGGCAGAGAATCAGAATGGAAGGAGGCAAGTGACTAAGTGGATGTGACGTAGGCGGAGGGAGACCCCACAGCTGAGCCTGCGAAGGAAAGAAAGCCAG